CTTCACCATGTTTTTTTTTTTCTTCTTTTCTTTGTTTATTTCTCTCCAATCTTCACTCATCTATTTATTTTTTTTCTATTCGCATACTTTTACCTTGTGAGACTCACATGAGAAAAGAAGAAAGTAGTGGACCAAACACTTTAACTATCTTATTAGTGTCCATTGGAAACTCACAGTGAATCACACAACTTCAATTAAACTGTCTTCTTTTGCATTCGGAGAAGTTTACAGAGCTCCAACGTACATTTTGTTTGCAGGGAGAGAAGTGCCACGGTCAGTGAATGCCGTTCCTCCTCCTCAACAGCAGTAGCAATATCCATACCACAACTATTCATATTATTATTATTATTATTACCCATAGTAGAAGAAAAACTATACGATAAAGATGTCTCTGCAGATGTAGTTGGAAGCATTGCACATATCTTTGCCACTAGTCGCAGGACCTCCGGATCAGGATCTGCAATACGGCCCGACTCCACAGCTTTTAAATACTCCACAACAAGAACAATACGTTGTTTAAGTAATCGCAATGATTGTTCAATACGGTGCAGTTGCGGTGTAACAGCAACCGCAGCCACACTACTACCTTGACAACCAGCAGATACATTATTCATAGCTGCAGTCATTCCTGCTTGTGTGATTTCATCCGAGTCTAAAAGGAATTTTATTTTTGTTAATCCTACTGAAAGACCAGGCATACCAGTATCATTTACCGTAATACGACTTATTGAACTAGTACTAGTATTAGTATTAGTATTTGCTGTATTAATATTACTATTACTACTATTACTACTACTATTATTTCGCCTTGGTAAAAGCCCCGTCTCTTCTCCTAATGGACATTGTTGTTGTTGTTTGGGATCATGTAGTATAGTGGCTTCAAAGAGATGTACGGGAAGTGTGGCTAATTCTGCTGGTGGGGCACAATCCACCATGAGGGCAAACATCATTCCACTAGAGAGATCATCAAAGGTATTACATAATGCCATATGTACACAAGAGCAACTCCGCACAAGATCTTCACTGGTTCCCCCAACACTGTACCAACCCACAACGGCAAGTTCAGGGGAAACCTCCGCAAGACGTTCTCTCTTATGTTTCACCGCTGCCCAATCCACAGACCAACCTCCTTCATTACTATTATTACTATTATTAATACTAGTTGTTGTTGTTGTTGTTGTTTGTGTGGGTTCAGAGATCACAACTTCGTAGGAAGTAACAATTTCTGTACCGCCATCACTACTCGTGCGTCCAAGCAGAACGCCAAGAACATTTATGACTGTGTTGTGATGTACAGATGACTGCATTCGGGTAACATGATGGGTGATGTTAAGAATAACTAATGGATGAAGACGAACGGGCAGTGGTGGTTCTTCTGCTGACATGCGTACTAATCCAGGTAAACCCCTGGCAATAATAGAACTGGACATTTTGAGGATTCTATTTTTCTTTTTTTCCTTTTTCTTTTCTTTTTTTGATATGTTTGCTAATGAGAATAGGTGAGATACAAATAAAAAAAAAGGAAAAAAAAACAGGAATAATGATAACATTTATTAATAAAGAAGATACACATATAATTATATTAGTTTAGATGATATACCTATTTTAACACAGGGTGCCTTACACTCAAACACACACAGAGATAGATAATGATAATACACATCTCATACAATTTCCCTTCCCTTTCCTTTTATTCACATATCTCACTTCAGAAAAAAAAAAAAAAA